TATGCATATTAGCAGTACCTGGATGCAAGGTGCATGTATTTATAGTCTTATGCTGCATTCTTAGGACTGTGATCTTTCCTCTTGCCCAGTTAACTTTCCAGCTACCTTTTTGAAAGGTGGTTTGCCAGAAGCTATTTGGGCTGGAAACATTGGTGTCAATGCTATAGACATTCTGTATAAAAATAAAAAGAGTAAAGGTAGTTAGTTCAAGACTGAATGGTAGGGCTGGGGGAGGGAGGATTAAATTAAAGCTGTGAGCTTAGATTGAAACAGTCTATCTATTAGTTCTGTGTAATGATTAAATCATTAATAGTGTAGAACATCAGTGCCTGCCTTAAAAAAATCTTACAAAATGTTTGGTCATTGCTTTATGTATTGAAACATAAGGAGACAATAAGGTAGACATCCAAAATTAGAAAATGAAGTGATCTCGAATCAGAGCAGTAGGGGATAGATACACAGCCATTTCTCGTCAGTGGAGATTTTTACTGTTATATGCATTCAGTTCCTATTTATATGTCAGCGGCCTTGGTATGATTTTAATGGATTTAGTTCTAAAAATTTGATTGCAGTTTGTTTTTTCATTTACTATTACAGTTTAATTCCATTGAAGAACCCATAGAAAGTTATAATTGGGATACTTTGGCACAGAGCCAGTACACCCAAAAGGAAAGACACCGTGATGTGTAGGGCAGAAAAATGTGTTGTGTTAGTGTTACACATTCACTGTTGACTTTCAGTGTCCTGGGGGTTTGAGTAGTAGGTGCCTGCTAACAGAAATTGACACTTGCTGAACTTTGTGTCTACCACCTTTTTGCTGTATATACTTTCTTTCTATTTTGTTTCCAAATGAAAACTTTCAGGTATGTTTGTCTGATAGTTGAAAAAATTAAAATAAATACTGTAATACATTTGGAAATGTAAACTGAGCCCTTAATATTTTCAATTTTTCCTCCTTTGATGAATCCTTTTTTAGAAACAACATAAATACCAACTTTCCCTTATTAGCAGGGTTCTTTTTGTTCCCCAGTTGTTCTAATAGTAATTGGTTTGTCCAAATTATGGATTGCCCTACCAGGTAGATACAACAATCTTTTAAACCAGCTGAATCTGCATTATATTTTGGAAAAGGAAACTGAAGCAGATTATTTCAATTTAGCTTTTTAAATCCTTTGCCTATGTAATGCCATTGGTGCTACAGAGAGAATGAGATGACATGACTACTCTTCTTCAGTGACCTTATCTGGTTAGGAGGATGGAATAGTTTATGTACCAGAGTGTGTGACTTGAATAATATGTATTTTGGTCCTGGGTTGTTTTTTTTTTTTTTTTTTTGAAACAGGGTCTCATTCTGTTGCCTGTGCTAGAGAGAGTATGATAGTGTTATCATACTTCACTGCAACTTCAAACTCCTGGCTTCAAGTGATCCTCCTGCCTTGGCTTCCCAAAGTGCTGAGATTACAGGCGTGGCCACTACGCTGTTTTTTTTTTTTTTCCTTTCCTTTTTTTTTTTAACAAAACAGATATCTGTTAATTGTGAAAAGAAGTAAATGAAATTTTTATAGAGAAAGAACTTTATTTTTAGGGGGATGTCACTTATCAGAGAGTGACACTTTACCATTACACATTATTTACCAAATGCATACTGTTATGCATTTCAGAAGATTTTGTAACAAGATTTTGTTACATATGCAATAATAACACTATTGTTTGCTTTTTCTGTTAGCATCAGGATAATACTAGGTTATTAAGTATGAAATGTATGATTTCAAATCAAAAGTATAGTTTATTATATCTCAAACAAAAAGCATTACAGTTAATCAAAGTATGCGCCTAAACGATCGACACAGTTTTGCCATCTTAACGGTAGCTTGCTTATGCCAGCAGTGAAGAAGCCTGGAAAGTGAGTGGCAATGAAATCGCCAAAGGCATTTTCCACAGCTTGTTGAAAATCGAATATTTTTCCTTGCAACAAGTGGTCCAAAGCCAGGAAGAAGTGGTAGTCAGTTGGTGCAAGGTCTGGTGAATACAGTGGCTGACAGAGTTTCCACGTCCAGCTACTATAGTTTGAGAAGCATTGTTTGCGTGACATGTGGTTGAGCGTTGTCTTGCATGAGGATTGGCCTGTCTCTGTTGACCAATCTCAGCTACTTAATCGCAAGCATTGTCATCATTTCTTCCAACTGGTTGCAGTAGACATCTGCTGTAATCGATTGATCAGGTTTCATGAAGCTGTAGTGGGTAATACCAGTGCTGGACCACCAAACAGATACCATTAGGTTTTTTGGATAAATATTCAGTTTTGGACTGTGTTTTGGCACTTCATCTTTATCCAACCATTGTGCTGAATGCTTTCGATCGTCAGAAGAATCCATTTTTCATCACACATAACAATACGGCATAGAAATGGTTTGCCTTTATGTTGTGACAGAAAAGAAAGGCAAGCTTCGAGAAGATTTCTCTTCTGATGCTCATTTAACTCATGCAGAACCCATCCATCCAGCTTCTTTACCTTGTCCATTTGTTTCAAATGGTCCCATAGTGTTGGAATAGTAATGTCAAACCTTGCTAATTGACACGTAGGTTGAGATGGATCCGCTTCCACTACAGCTGTCAGCTCTTCATTATCCATCTTGGTCTCAGGTCGCCCACATGGCTCATTTTCAAGATGAAAATCACCAGAACAGATCTTTTCAAATTATCAATGTACTATGCATTCATTAGCCATATCCTTCCCAAACACTTCGTTGATATTTTGAGCTGTCTACACTATATTGGTTCCATGATGGAACTCATATTTGAAAAATAACAGGAATTTTTGACTTATCCATGATTTCACAGAAATTGCTCTAAAAAAATTTGAAAGATAATCACAAGCCAAAATATGTGCTCGAAAGACTGAGGATGTACCTTCACAATAAAAATAAGAAGTATCAAAGTGAAATGTCAGAGATATCAGCTGTCAAACTTAGTACTTAAGGAAATCTGACATTTTATACTTAATATAAGAAAAGCATGCAAATGCAGATATTTTGATCCAATACCTTTTGGTATCTACTACAATAACATTTTTAGTGAATTTATGCCAGTGGTAAAATTGTACCACTTAGCCTTATACCTATGAAATATATATTTTTTGAGATTTCTGCAGTATCTTTTGTAAATGACCATCTCATTAGGCATGAAGGGATGGGCTATTATTTGCCTTATTAGAACTAGATTATATAATTTGATCTTCTAATATATTTTAAGTTTTTAAAAATTGTTATCTGTACAACAAGAAATACATTTTATGCCATGAATCAATATACACATGCAGATCCATGTATACACATACATGTATAAGTGTGTAAAACATTATTGAAACATTATTGAAACAAAAGTTTCACAAAATAATATTTACTGTTATTGTGCGTAACACAATTGATTCGAAATCATACATTTCATACTTAATTTCTTCTAATATTTTTTCTTTTGTTTCATTAGAAAAAGCTGTTTGAACCTGCCAAATTGATTTCATGAACCACTAATGACTTGCAAATGTTACTTAGGAAAATATTATTTTAAATCAAGCTTTTGAGTAGCATTCCCTGAAATCCTAAATGAATGGAAGAGTTATAAAAGAAAGATATTTTTGCTGAACACAGTATTTAACTACATGAGGAACTTGTTCATTGCTTTTATTTGTTCTACATATTCACTTTCAGGGTAAAATAGCTTTAAAAATGTAAGCTAGAATGCTTAAGAAACAATGTTAAGAAACTAAAAATCTACATAGTTATGAATACTGTTTAATTTATTAATATTTTCTTGGATTGAAATATGGTGTTACACATATTAATTTTTAAAGGATTCTGTAATGAAATTGAGTTTTCTGGTCTTACCATGTATTTAGTATATTTTTCTTTGAGTTATATTTAATGTCACACTTGTATATATATTTTGCATTCCATACTTTGCTCTGACTAAATCTCTCATTTTGTTCAGCATTTTCTTGGGGAAGGGAGTTTTTCAGGTGTTTGTCCACAAGCAGATCCAAGGGAACTCTTCCTGTTTTGATGCTGCTGTTCTTTTTTGTAAGCTTGATTGTGTCAGTTATGTGCTCCTGCCTTATTGCTTGTCCATTCCTTGCTTTTGTCATTTTTCACAGGATGGGAAATGATGGCAGCAGTTACCACAATAAAAAGTAAAGCATCTTTGACCTAAGAATGCTTAAATTCTTGTGTTTAAAGGCTCCCTTAGGGTGTTTTGTGCTAAAGTGTACCGAGATTGAATCATATCACCATTACTGATTATGAATCTTATTATTTAAAAATAAAAATACAGTTTATATACACATACCGGTTAGCAATAATTTATACTATGAATGAGTAGAGGGACTAATAGTCTTTAATTCAAATGTATTAGCTTTCATGTTTAATAATTTTTTGCTTTTAAAATAGTGCTGGTTTTTTAATAACTGTAAATGTTACTTCTTTCTCTCCTTACATTTCTGAATTTGGAAATAAATCAACTTTCATGTTTTCTGGAAATCCAGTATGATGTGCTCAAGGATAGATCATCAAGACTTTCATCATTAGTATGTAGTGCATGACTGTGTGTTTAATGTGGAGTTATACTTTATAAACACCTGTTATGCTAATCATAGATTATGACTTTCATGGCTTTTTTATGATCTTTTAGGAAAAATGTTTAACTAACAAAGCAAAAACTATTGTTTTACAATTGTGACATAAGTTATCATTTGAATAGTAATTTTTTCCTAAAGGAATTTCAGTATTGGATAAAAACATTTTCTTCCCTATTGAAGACCAAGATTGGTAGTAACATTTTTTCTTAAAAGGATGAGCCACCCACCTAACACATACTCATTGCTCTGAAAGACCTAATTCTGACAGACAACTGAACTACAGTAGCATAGGCCCAACTGTGTTTCATGTGATGTGTCATAAGCTATCAGGTGTGAAGTTGCTAAACAGAAAACATCCAGTAGTGATAGATGACATATAAGACAACAGTTATGGTCAAGCATTTTGGTTTGATTTGATTTGTTTTAATATGGTATGCCATATTAACCAAGAAAGTTAACTTATAGCTTGTTTTTCTTGGGTTAATATTATGTTAGTAGGTTTCTTGAGTTTCTAGACTATATAGATATCTCTTAAAATGTTGAGAGTAATATATAAAAGGAAAGATGTATATTCAAGAAAAAAATGAGTTTATAATCATTGATTTGGGATCTAGCTATGCATATGTGAAATGGTTTGTCTAGAGTAGACAGTCTGTTGCCTTTGGCTATTGATAGGTAGGGTATTTCTAGCTGTAACCCCTCATTTCAGGCAAGCAGCACATACTTGACTGGGTTTCTTGTCTACCTATTGACCTATTTAATAGTATTGCTGTCATTGTGGCCCCACCCCCCCGCCAATCCATACACTTGGCTTTGTACTCCTCGGAGAAGTTAGATACTGAGACAATCCTGTCTTCAGAGGACCCTTGTAGAAAGTGACCATTTAGTAAAGTTGCTGCTATGCTGGGCAATCCATACCATCTTGGCTCTTTTCCTCCTGAGCAGCACATGCTCTGGGTCCACTAACTTGAGTTAAAAGTACTGTCTGGGGCAATGCAATGTCATGTTCTTTGTTCTCTCAGTCCCGTTTTGGTTGATTCAAAGTGTTGCTTTTTGGGCTTTAGGTAAGGACGACTATAGAAGGAGGTGTGAACTCTCTTGTCACCTATACCTTTATAAAGAAGAGAGAGGGACTCAAAGGAGATATGGGATGAAGGTCCCTAAGATATCCTGCTTGGCTCTAAGTCTCATTCAGTTTTTTTTTTTAGCTAGCCAGACACTGAGCTGGATGCTGGGCACAGTCTAGGGGGTTGGTGAGGGGGGAATGCAAATGTATAGAGAGGCCATATATCTTAGCTTGTCAAATGCAGCAAATCATTTACTAACAAGTGGCAAATAGATTGCATGTAAACTATTCTGTATCTTATACAAACCTTTGTATAATTTTAAGGTGAATTTTATTAAATTATTTTCATAATTTCACTTATGATCATTAAAGTTAACTTAAAATATTTACTTCCAGAATCATTCTTACAGTCACTCTTGTGGAATGAAGAAGAGGTCTTCTGGTTCTCGTAAAGACCTGCTGGTTAGTTCTGTTGTGTCTCATATCATAATTCATTGATTACTTTTAGGGAACATAAGAATTATGACTGCTTTGGTGTGCTTCTAAGCCATTATTGAAACTTGATAATTTGTTGAAACATGATTTATCAGAACTTTATTAAAAATAATTTTGTTGTCATTTACAAGATTTAATATCAAGTTAAAATATACTAATCCCAGGGGCTAAAGTTAGTAAGGTATCACAAGAAGCTCATTAACAAGTATTTTCATTTGTGAACTGTCCTTTGGAATATACCTCAAGAATAGGTTTAGTGAAATTCTCATCCTTATTTTAGAAATTTGAACTGATCTAGTTATGGTATTTTAGGCAGTACCAAACTCACAAATAGGTTTCATTCTGAAAGTTTGTTTCTTAGGAACTCGAAATGCATTTTCTGATAGAAACAATAAATATGTAATGGCAGAGTTCTCATTGCTAGCTTACAGAAATCTCTTTAACCTATAATGTAATTAAACTACAAAATTAATACGCTCTTTATTCCAGCCACCTTGCTAAGTGACATTTCGGTGGGGGGAAAATGTCTACAGAATGCCCACATGGTGCGCTAGGAACACCTCTTTCCTGTTCGGTTGCAACAGTACTGGCAAAGGAAGTGCAGTCCCGTGCTGCCAGCCAGTTCAGGGTTCCCATGAGAGGGGTCAGGTGAGGGTTGGGAGCCTTTGGATGGTAGAAGGGAGGAAGAAGAGAGAATATAATGGAGAGGACATTAACAAGAGGCCCTGGATGGTGGGGTTTTGGGATCTCTGGGGAGAGATGAGCCATGGTGCTAGTTGAGGGTATGAATGGGAAGTGGTGCAGGAGAGAGGGCCATGAGTGGTAGGGCTGGGGTGGGCGTAGGGGTGTCTCCGACTGCCGTGTCAACAGTGGAGAAGGAGACTTTAAGTTCAGAGATTGCCTAAATTTGCTTAACCTTGAGTAAAAAAGATGATTAGAGAAGTTGGAAAGGGAATTTTATAGATGATTTTCTCTGCCCCAGAGAACCACAGTGTATAAAATTGTTTGTTTTATGCAGCGTGTTAAAAATGAACATGCCATAGATAGTTTAGACCAAACCATATCTATTACATTCTCTTTCTCTTTTTGATAATTTAATTTGATCCATTTATTTTGACAAATACTAAGACTATGAAAAGTTTGGAACCAAATATAGTAACTCTTTTAATTATTTCTGTGGCTTTGCCAAATGGATTATAAAAATGGTAGTTATTCAGTTGTCCTGTCCTGGCGTTTTCAAGGACATTTTTAAGCATGACATAAGAGTAAATCAATAATTTTCATTCCATTTTGTCTGAGGGTTTATTGTCTTGTTTTTACAGTAAAAAAATTAGTAATAACTTGGTTTGAAAACAATTAAATTTTAATACCAGTCTTTTTTGAGGGACTTGAAATAATTGTTACTTTGATTTTTACTTAATATGCTCTAATGATTTAAAGGCTTTTTTTTTTTTGGAGAAGGGATTTGGCAATGTCAGATTTTGTATTTGTTCAGATTTTGCCTTTGTGTGTTGTTAGGTTAATAACATTTAACCTAAGAAAAATGTGTTTGATTTTGCTTTTGCAGAGTGGCCTCTACTTTGACCAGAGAAACTATAGCAGTCTTAGACATAGCAAACCCACCTCTGCCTACTACACTCGGGTTTGTCTGAAGTTTTTTGGCTTCATGTGTTACTCACCTTTAACACATTTCTAATCCTCTATTTTGCATTTTGACTAGTTATAACTAATCCGTAAATGGTTATGTATATATATTAGTTTTTGGTAACTTAATTCATACAGTCTGTGTGAGTGTCTTTAAACAGCAAAAACTAATAAATCACCAAGTTTGTGAATGAGAACCATTTTTTTTTTTTTTCAATTTTTTGTTTGTTTGTTTTTAGAGACAGGGTCTCGCTCTGTCGCCCAGGCTGGAGTGCAGTGGTGTGACCTTTGTTAACTGCATCCTTGAACTCCTGGGCTCAAGTGGTCCTCCCACCTCAGCCTCTGAGTAGCTGGGACTATAGGCATGCGCCACCACACCTGGCTAATTTAAAAAATTTTTTGTAAAGACAGAGGTCTCACTGTGTTGCCCAGGCTGGTCTTGAACTCCTGGCCTTAAGTGATCCGCCCACCTCCGCCTCCCAAAGTGCTGGGATTATGGGCATGAATCATTGTGCCTGGCTGTCAATTTTTTTAATGAGAATTTTTAAACATACAAAAAAGTTCAAAGAATTATATAGCAAACACATATACCTACCATTTAAATTTTGTAATTTATTATATTTCCTTTATCACATGATTATCTATTTGTCCCTCCCTCATCCATCAATTCATCTTATTTTCTGATGCATTTCAAAATAAGTTGTAGATTTCTGTATACTTCATGGTGGGTACACTTTTAAAAAGCTTCCATGTGAAAATCTATACTACACAGGGAACAAGAAAAATGTAATTATTTGTTTAATGTTAGCATATCTTGTTTTTTCAAGGCATCTGACACATCATACATTTAAAACACTTTAAATGTATGGCACAGAGTACATTTAAAATAATTTCATTTCACAAAACCTGCACACAAAACTTAAATACTCTTCTTTTTAATATCTGGTTGGGTTTGGTGGAAAAGACCTGAAAATTATGTCCTCAGATGACATCAGGAAAGGAAGATTTAATTCCTTTAAAAAAAATGCTGTGCCTTCTTAGTGCATGGATTCATTGTGTCTGGTACAATTTATCTGATTAAACTAAGGCACTTTGTCCATGGCTTATTTTAAAATACAAAGTTTTCTAGTCTATTTGGAAAAGAGTGTTTGTGTTGACAACTTGGAGCTTATTTATCTGGTTCCCCCAATAATCAGTCTAAGCCCATTGGAAGTCTGTCAAGAAATCACTGAAAACATCACAGGAGCTACTGGTGACTGTTGTGGCCACCTTTAGCGACACGCCCTGTGCCATGGCCCTCTTTTCCTCAGTGTCTTCTTAGCTTGCCATTCCATATCCTAATAATAATGTTTAAAGACCAATGAACACATTTATAGAACACATGAACACATTTATAGAAAACTATTCCCAGTTATTTTTCTTATCCCTTACAGTTGGTATTCAAAAACATTTCTAATGACTTAAGTTTTCCTTACTTCTTTTGTTTCTTAACCACCTTAACATTCAGGAATTGCTAATGAATTATGGAGTATGAAATCATAAACTTAAGTCTTCTGCTTTCACGTTGGTGAAACCAATTCTTTGTGTTTGTTTCTCTTATTTATTTTGTTTTATTTTTTGTCTGTTAGCAGTCTTCTTCCCTGTACAGTGATCCCCTGGCGACATCTAAGAGTAACAGGGTTAGTACTTTCTGAGGAATGTGTTGCCTTCTGAGCTACCAGTTGCTTTTCTTTGGGTTTAATGGTGTGCTTTTTTCATAGGCCTCCCCTACTGCAAGTTCTGGTCTGCTGAGAAGTGCCAGTCTGGTTTGTATTTTCCTCTTCCAGTGTGTGCATTGCTGGTGGAGACCACTGTCATGGCACTAACTCTATGGCTTGACAGCTTTCCTCCAAAAGAGTCAAGGTTACATGGCTTTACTGCAGAATGTGCTGCCCTGTGCTTAAAATATAAAACTTGTTAAAAATAAGCATATTCCCTTCATAGAGGTGGATACTACTGGCTATTGATAGTTCTTATTTAGAATCAGTTTTTTAGAGAGAAAATAGATTTTCATGGGTCCCACCACTCTCACATACTTTTGTGATATGGCTGCTCATGCAGGAGATGTTGTATTTTTCTTTGGGACAGCTATGATCTTGGCCTCGTTAATGCTGGGGTCTAGTAAAGCAAGCTAACTAGAAAAGCAAAAGCAATAGTTCTGTGTAATGTGTGAGTTGTGAGTTGTTTGTTTTTAAGCTGTTGTTTGTTGTGTTGTGGCCTGTTCTAGTGGCCTAGGATCCTGAGATTTTATAACTTAATTTTATTGTGGGCAAAGTGCTCTCTGTACCTCAGTTTCCTTTTCTGTCCTATTTCCTCTTTTGAGGGAATAAATTCATAAATGTTAGTTCACCTAGTTTCGTAACATCATGGTGAAAGAAAAAAAGTATAACCAGTGCAATTTTCGTTTTTTTTGGAGACAGAATTTTGTTCTGTTGCCCTGGGTAGAGTGCAGTGGTGTCATCATAGTTCACTGTAGCTTCAAGCTCCTGGGCTCAAGCAATCCTCCGGCCTTGGCCTCTCAGACTGCTAGGATTACAGGCATGAGCCACTGTGCTCTGCCAGTGGAATTTTTTTTTTTTTTAAGTGAAGTGTGAGATTGAAGTTATAATAAGACTGATATTATCACCTTCGGAGATTTCACTTTGGGAGGCTGTACACTTATACCATTCTTCAAAACGGTTTTGGGACTGAGTACTGCAAAAAAGTTTAGACATTTTCAAAAGAATTTTGATGCTAAATAGATAAATGGTATTTCCTTTGTTCTTTAGGCATCATTGTACAGTGGTGGATCATATAACCCTTATGGTTCTCGAACTGTAAGTCTGCACAGGGGGAGGTGGTGAAGGAGGGGGAAGGTGTAGGTGGGAACAGTTTACTTACAAAGAAAAAGTCATTTAATCTGACATATGATTGTTCTACAAGCTGTGATCCATTCCTTCAGTTAGCCAGTTGTGACTCTCACCCAAACTGTGAGAAAGTGCCTGCTAGGAATCATGGCTTAAAGTATGAGGGGAATGCATAGAAAAACCTCTTTTCTTTTTTCATTAGTTCCTCTTGAAGAAGTTCTAAGCAGAGCTTCTCAGAGCATCCCCTTCCTCTTCTCTCCCTCCTGCCAAGGGTTGGTGGATCTTGAGGGTAGGAGTGAGGTAGAGTTCTTGACCAGGGAGTAACAGTTACCTTCACCCTGGGAATCAGGGGAAAGTTAGATCTAGGATCAGTAATGTATTCTCAGCAGAAAAAGGAGATGATCATTGTTGTAAAACCTTTCTTTTTGGAAACTTTATAGCCATCTGAATACAGTTACTACTCATCAAGAACAAGTTCATCCCGAAGCAGTCCCGTGGTGAGCTGTCTGGTCTCTGCATGCTTTAAAGAAAGTTTTGGTTGTTTCATTAATCTATACTCATATGTTAGAATATTGAAGATGTGGTGTGTTTCACTCTGTTGTGCATGGATTATGTAGTTTCCTTAGTACACAAACTCAAGCACTAATTTGTCCTAATTGATGATTTCTGTAGGAATGTGACCTAGTACATAATTCCTTAAATAAGCCTGAAGTGAGTGTTGCAAGAAATTTTTAAGTTTTTATATTTGTCATTTGTGTGAAACTTCTTATCTTTTCAATGGTGATAATTCAATGTGTGGGTTGGCTACCCTGTGTTTCCCCTTTGCATCTTCCTGCATTGTACCATTTCACTTGCTTTCCGGCACTTTTGTCAGTGGAGTAGAAGGAGAAGAAAATAAATATGCCAACTTAAAAAATTTTTATAGAGAAGACAATTATGGGACAATTATGATTACCTAATCTTTCTGCAATATTCAATTTTTTTTTCAGTTTATAAAAACAATATTAGTTAAAGGAAATCCAAAGTAACATTCCCCAGGCCTCTCCTTGCCCATTTCCATTCTCCAAATGTAACCTCTGTTCTTACATAGCAGTGCTCTCTATTTTGAATACAAATGGGTTCATATACATACTGCTCCTCAATATGTTTTCTTTGCTTAAAGTAGGTTTCTGTATCAGTACACAGAGATTTATGTCATTCTTTTTTTTCAACAATAAAACATTTTCTTTAATAAGTAAGCTGTGTCCCTTACTTTTTCCACTTAATGCCTCTTGGAGATAGTTTCATATGAGCACATTATTTTAAATGGCAATATATTATTCCATTAGTATGTAAGTATATATTTTTAAAACCATTCTCCTATTGATGGACGTTTAGGTTGTCAGATTTTTGCTACTACAGAACACTCCTAACCAAGCATATTTTTGTGTGCTTATAAGTAGATCTGCATGGTAAATTGCAAATCATGAAATGATGGGGTCAAAGAGCATATGCATTTCAATTATGATGTATATTACTATGTTGCACATCAAAAAGACTGTACTAATTTACATTCCCAAGGGCAAATGATGACTTTAGGAATTACCTTATTATCCTTGATGGTGTCAAAACTGGAGAAATCATTAAAGCAGTTTTTTGATGGTCATCAAAGATTACTTTGTGGAGTAGAATAAGTGAGCTATATGGCCTTTCTTTTTTTTTTTTTTGAGACAGAGTCTGGCTCTGTTGCCCTGGCTACAGTGCCTGGCGTCAGCCTAGCTCACAGCAACCTCAAACTCCTGGGCTCAAGCGATCCTCCTACCTCAGCCTCCCGAGTAGCTGGGACTGCAGGCATGCGCCACTATGCCCGGCTAATTTTTTCTATGTATATTTTTTTAGTTGTCCAGATAATTTCTTTCTATTTTTGGTAGAGACGGGGTCGCTCTTGCTCAGGCTGGTCCCGAACTCCTGAGCTCAAACATTCTGCCCGCCTCGGCCTCCCAGAGTGCTAGGATTACAGGCGTGAGCCAATGGCCTTTCTTTTATGTACATATTGGCTCTGTTCTGCCATTTCCAGGTGGCACTTCTCAAAAATACCACTCCTATATTTAACAAAAAATTGCACAGGGATGTTTAAGGAGATGGAGGCATTTTTTCACATAAGAAACACGTTTACTTTTAACCCACCCTGTAATAAAGTTCCACTTGGCAGTTCTTGGGCATGGTAGCATTTTTAATGTCCTAAGTCTGGTGGGCCCTTGCAAACAAAATTTGATAATATATTTTCTTTTTTTTTTCTTAAGAGACGGAGTCTTGCTATGTTGCCCAGGCTAGATTTGAATTTCTGGGCTCAAGTGATCCCCTCTCCCCTGCTCAGCCTCCCCAGTAGCTGGGAGGGAGTACAGGTGCCCACCACCATGTCTGGCTAATACAAACTATCTTTCACATTACCTGTACCAGTGAGCTCTCTGGTTCTTATTTTCAATTAAGTGTAGAATCTCACCCCCTTGTAGGCTAGCTAAATTCTATTTTATTTGCAAGTTGGGTTCACAGTTATTATCTTAGTGATGCCAGAATGGTTTCTTAGTGATGTCAGAATGGAAATAAACTACACATACCAAAGATTAGGCTTTGGCTGATGAAGCAGAAAGAAGACTACCCATGTTCAAAACATCTCCACTAGTTGCTTAGGAATGAATAAAGGAAAATAAGAATCATCACTTCAGTGTCCTTGTTGGTAGGAAATTCTGTCTTTGACTTATATTATTTCCACTTTAAAATGTTCTTTTATTTTTCTCTCCCAAACTAAAACAGTAACTATATTTATTGATCCCTGTTAGGATCCCAAAGAGCCTGGAGTTTTAAAAATCATGAAGTCCCTAAATGGTTTTAGCTGGTTTACTCATCCCTCCTTCTTTAATTTAACTTAAATAAAAGATAAGGTTCTACTTTATTCTTTGTGCTTTTTGGAAATATCTTTTGCTTTTTAACGACAGTTCATTATGCCTTGTAACAGCTTTTCTGTTTAATAATACACAATAGATTTTGCCAGTTACGCTGCTTACATAGAGTATCTGTATGCTTCCCAAAGCCTTCCCTAATGTGCTTACACCCAAGTAAGACCTGTAGTGAAATCACTTCTTCTTCATTATCTACACTTAACATCTATAGTTTACCAATGATGACAACGAGAGCATTGTGTCTTCTGATCGTGCCAGTCGTGAGCGAAGGGAGAGTGTGGTGAGCATGGTTTGCATGCAAACAAATACAATGAGTTTTAAAATGACAGCAATGTGTGATCACCTGAAATCTATTGGAAAATGAAATTTGCATTTGACAGAATGAGCATTTTCCTCAAATTTAGTTTGTAATAATAATCTACCCTATAAACATACTCTTGCGAATACATACTCTGTGGGCTGTACAAGCTTTCATTAATAACTTGCCTGTTCACATCTCTTACGTTAGGTCATTATTTGAAAAGTTTTCACTTTTTATTCTTTGTAGCTGTTTTATATACATGCATTCGTGTGTACAGTTCACCAAAAGCAAGTTTCTCAAGCAAAATTAATGCTTCCATTTTGTGTAAAATGAATAACTATAGATTACAAACCATGTTGGCATAAATGGCTTTCTTTACTGTTGTGTTTAAGTTTAGCCAATGTTTATGCATCTGTTAAGACCTGTGAACTTTTTAAGAGTTGCTGATGTCAAAATTTAAAAATTCTAGTCTTAGATGTTCAACTAGATAATAATTGTAGATGCAGAAAATAGCTATGCTGGGATACAAATGATATAATTTCAGGTTATTCTTTTATGAAACTTGAAATTTTACAGTTTTACAGCTGTTGACATTTTTGTTATATTTAAGAAATTGATATGGAAATTACATTGTTTTGGATGACATGTCAGTTTAGAGCTAGAATAAGGAGCCCTAAGAGGCTATAATTCCTTTAAGAAAAATAGAAGGCCATTTAATGTGTCATGTTACGTGAAAGATTGTAAATCTGAGTTTTTGTAGAGAAAGGGGAACTCCAAATGTTTGTGAGATTTGTTGCCAAAAATTCATTTATCTAATTAGAATAGTTGTGGTCCTTTAGCAAACTAATTAATGCTCTTGCTCTCAGCCGAAGAAGAAAGAATAAGCCACAATACCTGAAAGCATCTTGGAAAGCAGTGGAATGGAAAGGGCGGCAGGGACTTTAAAAAATAATAATGACTTTAAAATAGTGGCTTGTGGCTGGGCGCGGTGGCTCACGCCTGTAATCCTAGCTCTCTGGGAGGCCGAGGCGGGCGGATTGTTTGAGCTCAGGAGTTCAAAACCAGCCTG